CCCCAAAACCCCAAAACCCCAAAACCCCAAAACCCCTCTCCTCTCTCAAAATACTGAATCTCCCAGCCCCTAAAAACCCCTCTAAAAATCCCCTAAAACCCCTACACTTCCTTATCTCCACCTGTTCTTAACCAAACCTAAATTCCTCTACTTGTTCGCCTTCATCTTGTTCTTCTGTTCAAGTTTCTTCCTGACATTCTGTTCTACGTGGGCTAAGTTAAGTTTCCTCCCTCTGGTCTTGGAGTCGTAGAGGGTGTTGATTTTGGCCTGGGCTTGGGAAGGACTGAGGGGAGTGAGCGAGGTCAGGAAGTCTGTTCGGGTGGTTTTGAAGAGGGAGTAAAAGTCTGATTCTGAGTAGTAAGGGATGCCGAATTTTTCGAATTCAGAAGATATTTCTTGGTCTTGTGGAGATAATACCTTTTTAGTATTGGAGGAGATTCCAAGAGTGTGCTTGATGTCTACGGTTACTATTCCTTCTTTGGAGATATTGGCGGGAGGTCTTGCTTTTGATGTGCTCAGGTTTGTTTGGATTCATACTCCTTTCATTATTTTATCCATAATTTCAAAGTTGATGAAGGTCTTGCTCTTTGTAGAGAGGACATAAGTCCGCTCTTTTAGAACAATCAATATTTCAATATATGTAGACTTATCGTTCATTTTATAGCTTTGAATGTCTTGAATACAGACTTTATGCCAAACCCCATCGTAAGTCTTGAGAAGGATTTGATCCCCGTTCTGGAGAAGATACATATCAGAGACTCTCTTATGCCCACTCGAATTTGTGAGAACTCTGTTAAGCATTCTTAGCACCAGAGGAGAAATCGCCAAATATGGTGCATAGACATATATTGCTCCCATACCTAAAGTTTGGTAAATAAAAGCTGCTGTTCCTAATGAAGCTGGGAGGCTGAGAGCCCAAAGATTTTTCCTGGTATTATGATTATGAGTAGCTTCAAAAATCTTAGCAATATTGCCTTCTTTAGAGTGAAAGTTAAAGATCACTGCTTTTGAGGGAGCATATTTCTTAAAAACCCTTTTTGTTCTAAATTCCCCATCAAGATCAATATTCGTGTTGTCGTAGCCTAGTAGAAAACTTCTCTGTGCGAACCTTGACAGAGAGGTTGCTTTCCTCGCCATAAGAATCCTTTTTGAGAATAACATGTCTGATCCAAAATCTAAATTATTAAATATTATTAGCCATATTTAAGGGGTTTTGGGGTTTTGGGGTTTTGGGGTTTTGGGG